TATAAATTGGTTTTAAAGGGGCTAAAGAGGTCTAAAGGGGGGTGCCTTTGTGTGATTCTGTTATTTTCTTTTTTATCTCCGATTCTGTGAGGAATCATAATTTGACCCTCAGCCACAAGTGGTTTGCATTTTAATCCTACACAACATTTTTGTTTTCCGGAATTTTTTGAGTTTTTTTTTTTTTTTTTTTTTTTTGGCGCTGGGGCTGCCCGGAACCCTGCCCGGGGGTCGTGACCGCCGGGCACCCGGGCGTGTACCCGAGCAGAAGTTGGGTGCCCGGGGAAACAGCCTAGCTTAAAAGTTAAAAGTTAAAAGTTTAAAACTATGATTACTTGACAATGTCTGGTGCTTCATTGCCCCAATGCCGGGCAAACGGAGTTAAACTCCTGATTCCGTGGGATTTTTTCCCTCCTTCTAAGAAGAGCAATGGCCTTGAGACGTCATAGCGAAAGTAAATGGCCCCAGGTAATTCAGGAATTTCATTCACCTAGCTCCATCCGGATTCGAACTCAGGTCTGTATTTCAACAGTTTGTGGGTGTAACCAACTGATCAAGCCCTGATTGCGCAAAATTACTTGCATCTTCGGATAGCTGACGAGCAAGTCAATGTGCGTGAACGGAATGTGCTGGGTCATCATGATGGTCGATGGGACTCGAAACCAACACATGGGGATGTACGGGACACTGTAGATGGGAATCAAGTTCAATCAACGCCCGTTGATAATGTCTTTTTTCCCAGCCAGTTATTTTCCGAGCAGTAAAATGTGCATGGGATTTGCAACCATGGACACAACCTCCCTCCTTGTTCTCTCCTTTGGACACAACTTCCTTCCTTGTTCTCTCTCCTTTGGACACAACTGCCCTCCTTGTCCGCTGCTTTTGCCTTTCGATGAGCTCAAGCATTACATCGATACCCATCGATACCTGGCCTGGCATTGCATAGATCTGGGCTTATACGTTGTTCCGCAGTTTTGTCACCGCCAAGCCTGACAGATGCAGAACGTCGAGCGATTGTATCTGTGTGATATGCAGTATAACATTAGGATTTGATTGTTGCCTTGAGAGAGACAGGTGATTAGAACTTGTGTTGTTTTCTGGGCCACTTGCGGAAGACTCAGTTTGTGCGTTTGTGGACTAAGTAAGTGAGGGAAGGTGGCTCGTCAGACACTCCTCATTAATACCACGTCCCTTGGACTCAGGTCCGAGGGAAAGTGGCTTGTTCAACAGTACCACTTCCTCTGCCAGTGGACTCAGGTAACGCGGGCTTGCACTTCTGCTGAAGGGCTGGATATTTCAATAGACGGCGGCGACTGGTCCCTTCCTGATTTTACGTTCTGAGAATTTGTGAAGGCCCTCGGACTCATCTGCATAATGGCTCGGCTGTTCGAAGGAGGACTGTGCTTCCAACTTCTGCCGTTGTGACGGTTGATGGCTTTCTTGAGATTCAATGGGCCCTTGTGTCGGCTGTGGTGCGCTCAGAGAATCTGGTCGTTGTGGAGTGTTCTCAGACTGGGACAGACTGGGACGGCTGTCCCCTGTCCTGTGAGTCTGATCTCGTCATCGCACGAGGAGTCGGCGGCAAATCTTCTGCGCCTGGTGCAGCTTCGCTGGAAGTCCTCTGGGTGGGAACATCATCACGATCACCAGACTCGGAAGTCCTCTGGTTTGGAACATCATCAGGATCACCGGACCCGAAACCTCTCACTTGCCGCTGTTTGCCCGTCAATGGCGATGGGGGCGGAGAAGATATTTGGGGAGAAGATATTTGGGCCGGAGACTCGGTCAGCTGTTCTGTCTCATGTGAACCTGCTCTATCCGCTTGAGGAGCTGGCTGGGAGTCATCAGCGCCTGGTGAAGCCTCACGGGAGGTCATCTGGTCGGGAACATTATCACGATTCACAGAGTCTGACTCGGAACCTCTCGCTTGCTGCGGTTCGTCCGTCAAGGACCATGAGAATGGAGAAGGTATTGAGGCTGCAGACTGAGACAGCTGTGCTGCTTGTTGTGAATCTGATGCCGTTGATTGGCGATCTGGTGGTGGTGAATTGTCAGCGCCTACCAGTAGTGCAGCCGCGGGCGCGCTGGACGTCGTCTGAGGCTCTTTGGGGACAACATCATGATCATCGGCAGACTGGAAAACTCTCACTGGCTGCTCGTTGCCCGTCAATGGTGATGAGCCTGAGGGTGCAAAAGCTATAATTGAGGTTGGCGATGGCTCAGTGGAAAGCCCCTGAAGCTCTTGAAGGCGATGGCGACCCCAGAAATCAACTTCGTTAAAGCGATGATCTTCCATCCCTGACTCCGCAAGATTTTGAAAACGAGTAGGCTTTCTCCAGCCCATCTTGTCATAGAATTGAGCCCTCTCCAAGTCATGGTGATCAGTTGTCAAAAGGACTTTCTCAAGAAACAGCACTAACCCTAGTACCCCAGAAATGATGACAATAATAAGCATTGCTACCTTTGCAGCCATTGCAATTTTCTGTCAATAACGCCTCCACAAATTCCGCGGCAGCACCTACCTCTGATTCAACTGGGTACTCTCTCTCTCTCTCTCTCTCTCTCTCTCTCTCTCTCTCTCTCTCTCTCTCTCTCTCTCTCTCTCTCTCTCTCTCTCTCTCTCTCT